AGTTTTCTTTTTAAAAACCCTGGTTACCCCCAATGAGGTATGTTAGCCTTATTATATAGATAAAACTGATAAAAGAAAACGTATTGAACTAAATCCTAAAGGTACTATTAATACCCTCTAGTAATCAAATCTGTTATTACTTGAGGTTAGTTCACTTTATTCATTATTACAAAAGTAAATCTCTGCTATCTAGGTTGTGAGTTTTATAACCATACAATAACTGGATATGGCAGGTAACGGTGCCAGTATCTTATGACGTTTGTCACCCCAGGCATGTCTGCCTAACTGTAGCTAGCAGTTCAGGTGCAGGATAGTCCGTCCCATATAGATCTATACACAACAGTCACGCTCTCCCTACAAGAGATTATGGTTACAAGAGGTGGTCCTACACTCTCGAATACATTGGGAGTGTTACCAAGGATGCGTCTCCAACTTAGACTATCAAATTTACTACAAATAGTATAGAAAACCCCTTTTGTGATTAACATGAATCCTTTTTAAAAAGATACATATTTCTACATGATTCATAAGTTCATTACTCTAGTTTTGGAAATTGTTTCTACGAGTTGATTTGTTAATTATTTGGTAAAACAGTTTTCCGTGTTAAAAGCATTCTGAAAATATATTCAATTTAAACAAAATAATATATATATATATATATATATATATATATATATATCTATACTGAGCACAAGTTTCCTTGTACTTTTGCTTGTATTCCCCCCCCCTCTGAAAAACATGAAAAACTCAAAAAAACATAGGGGTATGAGCTCACCATTTTGACATAGGATTTGAATGTGAGATCGGTACGGATGTTGAGTGTTAACTGAAGCTTCGAACACAATTGGACCCTAATTACTCAAATTAGGGTATTTTACGACCAGGCATGATAGGAAACCACTCTAAGCACTCGGGAACACTTGAACTAAGTGTTAAAACCTTATCTGATTGAGTGAAGGAGGTGTATGGCCTCCCTAAGTGTGTGTACGGCCATGGGTGTACGACCATACACTAATGATGGGGAGGGTTTTTGAGGTGTTTCCAAGGTTCTACAAGCATCTAATGAGTGTTCTAGGCCCCATACTTAGTGGTTTTGCAAGTTTAAGGTCAAATATGAACATCAAAGTGGGTGTGCGGTCATGAAGACGTGTGTACGGCCGTACAGAGGGGTGTGCGGTCGTACACTCTTCATCTATGCCCAAAATTTCGATTTTGAGGTGCTTCAAGGCAAGTACCAAGTCCAACTAAGAGATGGAGGCCAAACTCTCACTTTGGAGAGCCTTTAAGGTGTTTACGGCCACCTTATGAAGGTGTGTGGCCCTACACCTTCAAAGGATGAAGAACATGATGAAACTTGATGAATTAAGGCTTAGATCAAGAAGTCTTACAAGTATAACAAGCTAGATGATGGAATACTTACGTTTTTGAAGCCTTTGGAGGGTCCTTATATTAAGATTCTAGAGAGAGAAAATAGTGTGCATCCAAAATTGGAAAAGAATGAATGAAGGGGTCTCCTCCTATATATAGAGGTGGGTGTGCGGCCGCACACCCATGTGTACGGTCGTACAGACCTCCCAATAGGGTGTACGACCCAATTTTGCTACTATGTGACTTGATAGCTCATCCCTAATCTCACCCTTGGTTGTACTCAAGATTAGAACACTTAAACGAATCCTTAAACGGTGTTTAAAGGTGACGGAGTCGAGTTTAACATTGATAGAAGTTCCGGGTTGTCACATTTACTTATAATGAAAAGAAATCATTTGTACAAATTCAGTGACTAGTTTCTAATACAAAAACATGCTTATGAACTCACCAGCTTTATGCTAATACGTTTTCTAAACCGCTTGTATTCTCAGGACAATGATAGACAGGTACCTTTGCCGACTTTTGGAGAAGACACATCATTTTGGAGTCTCGTCTTTATATTTTTCTATTTTTGATGTATACCAACTATGTTTTCAAATAGATGTGAATATTCATATTGTAATGTAATGGTTGTGTTTACTTTGATTTCTATGATACGATTGTTGTGATACTATGCATGACGTCACTCGCCACCGGACGTTTCCGGCGTCTGGTCTGACGATTCGGGGATGTGACAAATATTGTGAAGTATGAAAGTTGGGTTCTTTCAGACATACGAAAGTTAGGGTATTTCAGCTTTATACCTCTAATAAGCTAGAAATATGCTCAAAACTCTGGATCTTCTTGTTTCCCCTTGATCTCACAAGCCTCCTTCTTTTCTTCAAGCTTCAATCACATAAAGTAACACCACAAGGCTCAAGAACACACTAAAGACGGCTAGGGTTTCGAGTTAGGTTTGCACTAGACGATGGGGGCTGATTTGAGGGGTTATAATGTGTTTAAATAGGGTGCAAACCCTTAATTTAGGGTTTCACTCAAATAGCGTCTACTCGCCGAGTCAGTCTCCCGACTCGTCGAGTAGACTACTTAAACTTCCCACGGATCATGACTCTACTCGACGAGTTAGGCCTCCAACTCGTCGAGTCCTAGAGAAAAACATAAGAAATACTTGAATTAAAGGCATACCAGGAATCGAGCGTCAGATAAAGACCTATGATCGAAGTATCTTTAGGTTTCAGAACAAGCCTCCAAACCTTGTTTCTTTCAAAATCAGCTAATTCAGATTGCATTGAAACAATCCAATCAGGATCTTCCATAGCAATCATAACTGACTTTGGTTTAATTTTCGAGATAAACACATTAAACATACAAAATTCTTGATGAGTATTAAGTGCCTCATTCTTTGCATGAATTTGAGCTCTGGTCAATACTCCTGCATGTAGATCACCAAGAATTTGTTCTTGTGGATGACTTCGAGTCCACCTGTCCATCGGAGGATATGTTGGATCAAAATCCAATGGTGCATCTTCGAACATTTCTTCATTTTCTGATCCTCCACCCACATTCGAAAATTATCAATCATGTCATGAAAATTTTCATGTGAAACATTTGAACTATTTAGCAAAGATCTATGTTGCTCCCCCTCAACAAGTAGATCAATAATATGTTGCTCCCCTTAACATTTGCAATCAATTGATGTTGCACTGATTCGAAAGTTTGCTCCCCCTCAACTTCATGTGATGAACTCAAGTGCTCCCCCTCTACTTGATCATTGGGTAATATTTGCATACTTTCAGCATCCATTGGCGAATTTGTTGATGAATTTAAGTCAGGAACATTCGGTGTAAAATTTGAAACATCATAATGCTTCGATGCTTCTGGTACTTGATTGTCTTTGGCATTTATGCATAATTAGCCCTATCAAGAACACCAAAAATTAAATCATAATCAAAATTAAAAGAATTCAAACTTTCAGTTTCATCATTTGATTCGTTAATGATTGTTTTTTTTTCAAAGAAATTTTCAACTCTTTTGACATAGTAATCATCAAACGTGAGATTAAATGTTTCTTCGATTTTGTATGCCACTGAATTATGAGAATATCCTAGGAATATTCTTTCATCAGCCTTGGACTAAAATTTCGAAAGATTATCCTTAAGATTCATAATGAAGCATTTACAACCAAAAACATGAAAAAATTTGACATTTGGTTTTCGATTGTTAATGATTTCATATGGGGTGATATCATATCGACGATGAATAAAAGACCGATTCTGAGTAAAACATGTTGTCAAAACTGCTTCAGTCCAAAGATATTGTGGAAGATTCGCATAAGCCAGCATTGTTCGTGTTGCTTCGCAAAGAGAACGATTTCTCCTATCGACAACACCATTTTATTGTGGTATGTAAGGAGAAGAAAAATTATGCAAAATTCCTTTGTCTGTTAAGAACGAATCGAGGAATTTTTTCTTGAACTTAGATCCATTATCACTCTTGATCTTGCAAACTCTTTTCTTCAGACTCAATTCGATATGTTTGATGAAATCAGTCATTACTTGAGTTATTCTCGATTTTAAACGAAGAAAATATACTCAAGTAAACCTAGAAAAATCATCAACAATAACCAAAATGTATCTCTTCTTGTTGAGTGCTTCAATTGTCGAAGGACCACAATGGTCAATAAGAAGCAGTTCCAAAGGTTACCCACATATATAAAGAACAGTTACACCAAGGGGCTTTTAGCCCAACGGTATCCGGTATTGTCTTCTCTCCTTGAGGTCAAGCGTTCAAGTCTCATTGTGGACATATATGAAATTATTTAGGAGTATTTAGTATATATTTGTATTTTCCATTCAAAAAAAAATAAAGAACAATTACTCCATGTATAAATACAAATAAAATACTAAACACACACAAAAGTTACATACATCACCACATACGACACATGTTAAGTCCAAAAATTGAGGTCAGCTTTCATTCCCCTACGATTCTTATTCACATCGACCACAATGATAAGAAAATATAGCACAACAAACATAACTCACGACGAATCAAATTGTCAAAGCATACCACAAACGACTAAAACAATCGATCAATAATCCTATATTTTCTATATTGTTAACAAATCTATAAGGGTTTTTTTAGGAGGGGATATTTTCATTTATGGTTTAAAAATAAAATGTTTCCACTTTCATACATCATTTTAGTTGAAATAAAGAAAATCATGACGATGGTATAAAAGTCTAAGCATGTTTTTTTTTAAATGGATGGATAAAAACGCAAGTGAAAATATCAAACTTTCTTTTAGCATCACTGTTGTTTTTTTTTTTTCCTATTAAATATTATAAAAATTAATGATATATATATATATATATATATATATATATATATATATATATATATATATATATATCACCAAATACCATTTGCATTTCGGTCTTTTTTTAACAAGAAATATTTGCATTTTGGTCTGTTTTTTTAAATAAATATTTGAAAAGAACTCTCGACACACTTGGAAAGAATAAATAAAGCATTTCTATGAATGTTAAGGTATTTACAAAAACAGCAAGAAGATGATAAAATATTATTTCAGATTAAATTAAAAATGTAGAATAATAAGATACAACAAAATTCCTCATCAAAGCTAACCATTCTACCGATCTAATCCCGAAAACCCTTCATAAGCTATGAACTATATTTCAAATTAAATAAAAAATGTAGAATAATAAATAAAAATAACCATTTTCAACATAACCGAAGAAGAATGGGACCCACAGACAAACTAAGCATATCACTAAGCGCCACCTGTACCTCATTCGACCCATGCTCACATTTAATCAAGCTCGAAACCAACGGAAAAAAGCGTTTCAAATTCCTCTCAAACTCAAAATCCCTTAAACTACTGACCGCATGGAGGGTAGTGGCAATAAGGGGCCCACGAGCCGCGAGTTCTCTTTTCTTCCCGGACCCTAAAGGTATCAACCAATGGTTGAAGGGCAAATTCGTAATTTGCACAGGACGTGCTATGTCCACGTAAGATTCGAGGACTTGGTGACAGAGGTCAACAAGGTAGGATTCGACTTGTGGATTTGGGGGTTTATCGGTTGTGAGATTTTGTAGGAATGTGAGGCAGATTTGGTAGGATTCGTTTTCTAGCCGGAGTAATGGCGGATCTTGCATTTGGGTCATGGATCCGAGTTCTTGGAGCTTTGAACGTAAGGCGAGATTTGTGTTTATGTTGTGAGAGTGGTTTGCGATTTTGTGGATTGATTGAAAAAGAATCATGGTGTTTTTTATTGATAGTTGAGATCGATACATGTTTTGGATCTCGCTAATTGCCTGCCAACATTAAAATTTTAAATAATAATAATAATAATAATATAACTGGATACTTTTTTCTACAAAAGTATCCAACCCGAAAAAACATTTAAAAAAATAAAAAACTAAAAAAACTTACCTGTATCAACAAAAGCTGAACGGCTGCCCGACATTTAACATTGGAAATCGCACCAAACAAAAGCACATTGCTATTGCTCCCATTCTCCCCACTTTCCACATTATTATTATTATTATTATTATTATTATTATTATTATTAAACACAAATTCAAAATCAGGAAGTGTGAAATAAGCCGCATCTCTCAAACTGAAAACAACTTCAACCCATTTATCATCATCATCATCAAAGAGCTGACCCGCATTACTCACCAACCTCACAAACGCAGCAATTCCAATCCCCGCAAGACTCTGATGAGGTCGTTTTATAAAATTTAATAATAAATTCATGATTTTCTTTAAAATCGGGCTAATAATATGATAGAAGTTAACAAAGAGATCGACGATTAATTGGAGTGAAAGTGTGCAGGTTTCGTATAGCCATGAACATGGATCTTGATCGAGATCGAGTTCTTGTTGTTCATCGTGACCGATGATTAGTTTTTTGGATGGAGGGTTGTGATCATTAGATGGATCGATTGCGTATCGGATGTAATCAAAAATTGGGAATAATACGGATTCGAATATTCTTTCCCATAAGGGTAAGGAAAAGCGGTGTCCATAGGTTTTTAGGGTTTCGAATAGTGTTTGGAGAGCACTTTGTCTGATTTCAGATCGTGGGTCCAAGCTAAGTTCAGATAGCCCTGAGGAATAAAATTGAAAACAATGTTATAATAGAAAGAAATAAAGCAGGATGTTATAATAAACAAATAAATGAATGTTTGTTGCTATTTCTTGCAATTACCCTATATTCGAAGGGATAAATGCAAGAAATAGCAACGTATTTTTGTTTATTTGTTTATTATAGCATGATTCTTTCTCATTTCTTTCGGTTGTTAAAGTATTGTACATTCAAGTTTGTTTTTTTTTTCTTATCAAAGCATTGTACTTTAAGAAATCCACCAAAATATGGCATTGTAGTTTGTGTTTTTTTTTTTTAATCCAAGTATAGCAGTGGAAATTGCTTTGTCTTTGATGATAAAGGTAACAATTTAGTAGATTTCTCCGAGTATCTACAATGATAGGAAGAAATGAGAATAGGATGTTATAGTAAACAAATAAATGAAAGTATTTTTGCTACTTCTTTCATTCCACCCATATTTTGATGAGCTAGAGGGAGGAAATAGCAACATACTTTCGTTTATTTGTTTAACATAACGCCATACTTTCTTTTTTCTATTACAATATTATACTTTCTTTCTATTTGTGTTGTACTTTAAAAAGTCTACCAAATTATTATATTGTGCTTTGAAACTTCTTTTATCAAGGCAGTTTACTTTGAAAAAATCTACGCAATTATAGCAGAGAAAATTACTTTGTATTAGAATGACATGGCTGTAGTTAAGTAGAATTCCAAAGTAAAATGCTCTAATAGGATATACTAAAGAAACAAAAAAAAAAAAAAAAAAAAAAAAAAAAAAAAGCACATTCCTATTTCTTGCATTTCACCCATATATTTTGAACCATGATGCTTGGTTTTCCATTACAAACTAACCTTGTTTCTTCAAAAAGCACCAAATGAGCATTGAGTTTTCGAAAATGAGTAATTTTGAACAAATTGTAAAAACCATAAATCAAACTTTTTTCTTTTTTATAACTTCCACAAAAACAATAAGCAAACTGGTTTTCATCATCAAGAAGTAAAATATTATTTACTCTTACCAGACAATAATGGAAACCAGAAGTAAAGAAGATCTTCTTTATCCAACAAGTCCCCATTTTCAAATTTCCTTCCTTGATGTGGGGATCTCACACGACTTGGTGATTGCAAAACTTCAGAACCTTCTTTCTCTTTATTTCTTGAAAATCCAATTTCTCCTTCAGCCAGTTTTGAAGCACATAAACGAAGGAATCCAATAGCACTGAGACTAATATCAGTGTTGGATTTACTCTTTGTGAATGCAATCAAACAATTTACACAATCTGTAAAAGCAGTTGTTTCTGTCTCAGTTATATACGGGAAATAGTCTCGAACTATCTTCTCAGTTACTTCAAATGCAAGAAGTACAATGTTTTTATGTTTATCATATGCTGCTGTTGTGAACACCTGGCAAATGTTGCAACAATTAGAATTGTAATAAAAAGAAATAAACATGTAGAGAGATTAGGTAAGAGAGTATACCATAAACATGCTTTTCCATCCTGATTTGACATGATTGACGCGGGATAAAACCATTTGAGAGACACATCTGATTATTAATTCTCTGATCTCAACAGCACTACTTTTACCCATAGCAATCACAAAAGGTTTCATGAACTCGTTTTGAAAATTATAATTAGCCAATTCTTCCCTCTCCAAAAACTTCATTGACAGCTGGCGTAAAGAATCCATTGCAAATATTGCAATTGAGAGGTTTTCAGAACAGCCTATTGTCACAAAATATTCAGAAAGTACATTCCAGATAGTTGTCCAAACAAGCCGGATTCGCTCCATGTTATAGTGCCTGAAAAATAAAGAAATATATATATATATATATATATATATATATATATATATATATATATATATTATCATAAGTAATGAACTTTATTTACATAAATACAAAATCAAACATAATATAAGGTCAATAAAACCCAAATACAGTGATGATAAAAGAAAATTTCGATTAGTTTTAGAAAAATACTGTATAATTATCATTTTTCTTTAATATTTGTACCATAAAAAATCTACATAAATAAAAAAGAGTTGTATATTACGATTTTTTCATTTCCATTGAAAGATGGAAATAGAAAAAGCCACCGCAGTGGCTAAAAAAAGAAAATTAAGCTCACTATTCTATTCCATCTAGCAAAACAAAATCTTTTTTTTCATTCCAATGGAGTACACAATTCCAATTCCATTATACCAAAAATACAAAATTTGAGCATTATATAAGCTCACTAAAACTCAAATAAGTAAAAAAAAAATTTGGTTACTGTTAAAATATAAGTCCTAACGTTTTTTTAAACATTATATAAGTCCTAATGTTTTTTTTTTTTTTGAAAAGAAAAGTCCAGATAATTTAATTTGTCAGTTCATGTTAAAATTAAAATAAAGACTTTTTCGTTAATATCGGCAAAATATTAAATAATCGGGACTCTTCTATTAAAAAAAACGTTAGGACTGAATCAAAAGATTTTCCCAAAATAATGAGATTTTTCTGCATAAAACCCTTACTTTTAGATAACAATATATAACTTTATTAAAATCACGAAACTTTTTTTTTAAACTGAAATTAAAATTTACATAAATGAAAACTCCATGACCGGAATGAGAAGAAGAATAAAAAAAAACACAGCTTCGCTAAAGACAGAAAATTAACAAATTGGAAGGAATCACAATTCTTTACGAATGGTCAATTCCATTCCATCAGCAATGGAACGAACCATTCCATTCCTTCATACAAACACAACCTAAAATAAAATTACTTCAAGAAAAGAATAGGAAGTAAGAAGAAGCATACGCGATTTCAACTATCTTTGTTAGGCTGAAAACCCGTGGAGCAGAAGTAGACTGTAGCTCCCCCATAGACACCTTACAAAGCGCTTTGACAAAGTCAACAATCGCCTCACTATTAAGTTTCTGACTATTTGTAAACACACGACTCATTTCACCAACTTGTTCCAACATATTCAAATTAGATACCAAATTATAAGCTTGTTCTGATGTAATTCCACTAGAAGTATCACCACCAATGTTTGAACTATCATATGCACCTCTTCTAATTGCTGCAGCTGCTGCCTGATGATGGATTCTTCCAGCCCCTCTTTTCTTAAGAACCGGAAGGACGTTTGACTTTTTTTGTTTTGACTTTGTTCCTGATTCGTGTGAAAAGAAAGCGGAATCTAGTGGGGCCCCTTCTCTTAATAGATGTAAGTGTTCAAAACGTGAGATGCATGTTAGAATGTGTTCCCATGCTTCTTGTAGATAATCACCATCTTCATCTGCAATTGTAACTATCACCTGTAGCCATTAATGAAAGAAAGTGAATTGGTATTTCAGGTTTTAAAAAGAAATAAAAAGGGGAATGGTTGATTAAAGAACCTTGATGGCATCGATGTTTTTCTGTTTTATATCGGCTGGTGAATGAAGGCAAGTGAACTTTGCTAGTGAAGTGACAAAAGCATCTCTATGAGTCTTCATGGACATGGCTGCTGTTAAATGAATTGCATGACGAAATCCTTCCAAACATTGAGTGATAACAATGACTTCATCGCTTTTATCAAGAGGAACACTAAAAGCAACAAGCATAGGAGCCCAACACACCTCTAGCATCAATCTTAGTATAAAAACATCTGTAGCAGCGTAATAAACTGACCTACAAATTCATAACACAAGTTAATGAATAAGCAGCAACATGCATCCTACTTTCACTTTTTCCTCCTTATTAAGGCATCATCCTACCTCCAATTTTTCTTATTTCGACTTTGTGTTTTGAAAAATCTATTCCGATATTTGGATGACATTGATATATATTGGGTAGATTTGACAAACTACAATGTTGTAAAGAAAAAGAAACGAAAGTAGGATGAAATAATAAAAAGAATGCATGGATGTACAATGCATTCAACCTTAAACAAAATATACTTCCATTTATTTGTTTAGTAGTTGTGAGACCTGTGTACTACACGAATTTATCAATATATATATATATATATATATATATATATATATATATATATATATATATATATATATATATATATATATATATATATATGAAGGTCTAAACATTTAGAATGTTTGAATTTAAAAGGAAAATAAGAAAAATATTGAATTATTGAAATTGAATTGTTCATTTTTTAAAAAATAAATAAATAAATAAACAAAAGAAATAATTTGGCTTCCATTTAGAAATTTAAAATTAGAAGGAAAGTTGTATTAATAAAATTGATATCAATTTATTATCACATTTATTACAATTATTACTTTTAAATATACACAAAATTTAATAAAATGGAAAAAACCATAAAATGACATGGAAAATTTTTAATTTAAAATAACCAAAAAATGACATGTGGCGAAATGAATTAGAGTGTAACATGTGACAGAATGATTTTTATCTATTTGAGTCGAATATAGCATCCAACTTTCATTTCATTCTATTATAGCATTGTATTTACAACTTTTTTTTTCCTTATTAATGCATTGTAATTTGAAAAATAAACTACCCAAATTGCACTTTCAAATTTTTGTTATTCAGACATGTTGTATTTTGAAAAATCTACCCATAGTGAAATTTTCTTGGTATTTGAAAGAGCTTGCTATAATTGGGTAAATTTTTCAAAATATAATATTGTAATTGGAAAAGAAAACAAAAAGTAGGATGCTATAATACAAATAAATAAATAAATAAATAACATGAAACTTTATTGCTATTTCTTGCATTTAACCCTAAACGATATATATCAAGCACCTATGCTGTACAATGATGTACATGAAAAAAAAACATACTAGCAACAGAATAAGCATTAATGTAGATAAAAGATAGATGTAAAATACATGAGAGATAGCAAGTCGATTTTTATAGCCACTTATAAAAAAAATATTTAAAAAAAAAAAGAGAGAGATGAGTGATCTTACTCAGATTTCCGTGCTTTTTCTTGAAATTGTTCTTGCATGTGTCGCATAAGATCTTCACTGGTATGATTTTCTTCAGCTGTCTTGCGCACCACAATATTCAATATACTGTCAAGACCCAAAATCTTGTTTGAACTAACAGAAAGCCTTTGTTGAAGGGCTAAATCATCTTCTTTCATTTTAATCTCATTTCTTGATATTCGTTCAAACAATGACCTCAGAAACTCCTCTGGTAAATCATTTCCATCATCTATCCCCCGATTGTTTCTTATAAAATCATCAGCTGACATCTACAAAACTTAGCAAATCGTCACTTTACTGTTTTTAACCCTTTTTTTATTTATGATTTATGAAGAATGAGATGAAAATAAAATATACCTTATTCTTGACTATGGGATTGTGAGCATCAGTATTCAGCATTATAACAGAGTAAGCAAGAACATAGGCTGTATCAGCACTAATGAATGCCTTTGGATTGCATATACAATAACGTTCTGCAAACTTTTCCATAATCCTATCAATCTTTTGTGCTTCACCAGGCAACCTAAAGCCCATTAAAAGGGTTCTAATTGCCTCATCAAACTCCATTTCTTCAAAGTCAAAGGAGTCAACATACGCATGCATTACTCTCAATGATAAATCATCCCTTTCCCCCAAATAATCACCAACCAAAGTTTTACTCAAACCAGAAGCGTTTTTTAAGAAATCTGCTATTTCTTCTGGTGAACTTCCCACTTTATTCACATTGATCAAGAATTCAATTCCCTTTTTGGGTTTCCTATTAAAAAGTGATATACCTTCCTGCCATTAATCTTACATTAGATTTATGGTAATATATAACAACAAGGAGTCCTAAATCCCATAGGAGCAGGATAAGATGTAGCAATAAAGCTGAAAATAAAACGCAGATACAAGCAATAAAGTTGAAAGTAAAAAAAACAAATACCAGCAATAAAGCTGAAAGTAAAAAAGCAAATAAAAGCAATAAAACTGAAAATAAAAAAGCAGTTACAAGCAACAAAGTTGAAAGTAAAAAAGCAGATACAAGCAATAAAGTTGAAAGTAAAAAAGCATATACAAGCAATAAAGCTGAAAATAAAAAAGCAGATACAAGTGATAAAGCTGAAAGTAAAAATGCAGAAACAAGCAATAAAGCTGAAAGTAAAAAAAAAAATAAAAAAATAAAAAAACAAACGATAAAGCTGAAAGTAAAAAAAACGGATACAAGCAATAAAGTTGAAAGTAAAAAAAAAAACACATACAAGCAATAAAGTTGAATGTAAAAAAGCAGATACAAGCAATAAAGTTGAAAGTAAAAAAGCAGATACAAGCAATAAAGTTGAATGTAAAAAAGCAGATACAAGCAATAAAGCTGAAAGTAAAAAGCAGATACAAACAATAAAGCAGAAAGTAAAGAGGAGCAAGGGTAAGAAGTTAAATATTGAATGAATACTAGCAATAAATAAGTAAGCTTCAAAAATGCAATGCAAAATATATAAATATGGAGTTGCTTCAAAACATGTACCTGAAATTCAAGCTTGTAAGCACGACGTTGCTCGATTGTTAAAGCATCTGAAACTTCATTGGAAGCATCTGAATGAGGATCTGATCCATCAAGAGGCTCGTGTTCAATTGCAACCCCATTTTCCATTATTGAATTTCTCATTTCACGAGTGTAGTCAGGCACATCAGATATTTTTACAGAATGAGGATCAGGAATTCGTAACTGTTTGTTCATCCAATCACCCATTGACTTTAAAATACCCACTAAACACTTCATAGCTTGAAGCTTCATGGTTGCTTCTTGAGGTGGTAAAAGTGAAGTGCTAACTCCAGGTGTCGCACCTTGAGCGGTTTTCAGAAGCCCATTCACCATTCTGTAAAATAATTATAGAAAAAAAAAAAAAAAAAACAGAATGCCCACAACAAGGTTATATAAGTAGCTCAGAAATTTTAATGTTTAACAATCCATTGTATCAAAAAAATCTGATTAAGATTTTAAAGCTACAACCCATTACACCATTTCTTTTGCATCAAAATGGTGTAACTTTTGGTACATATAGTGGTTACACCATTTTTAACAACAAAAGAATGTTTTAGGTATATTCCTTTTTCATAATTTATATAGATTTTTATAAGCAACCCTTGTAGTTATTAGCTTTTTACAAATTTGACGCGCATCTTTTTTTATTAAAATTATATCATTAGACAATTATAACCAAAATAATATATTGATATATAATTAATGTATTATTTTAGTTTATGATAAAATAAGTTTGAAATATAAAAAGGAAAATTTAATATATATAAAAAAATCTTAACGAGACATTATACTTTAAAGAATCTACCAAATTATATCTGCAAAAATGGCTTTTTATTTGCATGCCATTGCTATAAATAGGAAGATTTTTCAACTGCAATGCTTTCTAATAAGAAGAAATGTAATAAACGGTGTTGGGTTGGAGCACATTTACACCAAATATGGCTTTGAAAATGGGATTTGGTATTGTGTTGGAGATGCTAAAAAATTTCAAGATTTATACCTTTCAAATATGTTAGATGAATTAACATCGCAATCATAGTTGATGAAAACATCTACCAAGATCTGTGAATCAACACAGAGCCTTTCAAGAAACCGCAATACAATCATTTTCTGCTTAAAATTAGGCTGAGCAACATTCTCTAGAACTCTGAGAACAATCATAGGGAAAAAGACTCCAATTTCTGCCTTCAATCCAGGTCTAAATCTTGACACGAGGCTAATGAAAATCGAGCAAGAGAGCTGAAATATAATCATAAGGGTTGATGCGCTGTTCTTCAGTAGTGATAGGCATAAATACTGTCTAATGGCGCCCAAAAATCTGTTCCAATAAAAAAAGACAAGTCAAGCCACAAATATTAACAAAGTTTTAAAGGGGTTTTTCAGATTTCCAGCATAAAAATATCGGATGCCTCGAGTTATTATAATGTATAAAAACACACTAAATTTTGCAACAAAAAGATCGAAAGACTGGATAACAAGTAATATGAGAACTCGAAAGTGGAGAACTTACATTTGGAATGTAAATACATAAGATTGAACTACACCTTTAATAAAAAAGAAGTCTAACTAGTAAAAAAAGTAGCCAATAGCCAAGTATGAAGAACAAACAGAAACTAGCATGACTATAAGTCTTTTTGTCCCCTTTCTTTGTTTTGGAAGTGATTAAATGTCTTTTGTTTTTTTCCATGTTTGCGGAAGAAGACGTGCCCTTGAAAAACGTCTACCCGCCAGAAGGAAGAAGTGCTCAAAAAGTAGTTTTGTAGAAAAACAAACAAGGCCTTAGTCTTGACAACAGTCTCTTTATTTAGATATTATACACCATAAACCAAAAATGTTTTCTTTTTAATTTGACGAATTAACCAATTATGTGAAATATACCAAGTTACAGTGAAAAATGTTTTTAAATAACAAATATTTAAAAGAAAGTCGCTAAACTACATCCAAATCTATTATATTTTGAAAACAAAAAATATGTACAATATAATTAAAAAAATAATTTTTTCGGATATCAAATATCCAAAAATTTAGAAAAATACTATTTGTATCCGAATCCGAAAATTCAGATTATTTATTTCGGATGCCATGTTCCATCTACTGCTTGAAATACAAAGAATAAGGCTTTGCTATCTCTCTTTTTATTTTCTTTATCTTGGAGAAATTGTTGGGGAGTATTTTCTTAGTATCCACTTTCTACCAAGGCCCAAACAACTTGTGACCCATATAAGGCCCACATCTGTATGTGACCCATTTTGAAGCCATGCAAACATGGCTCTGATACCATGATACCAAGATGTTGGAGAATCTCTTGTACGTTGGAGTTTTTTACACATAAAATCATAAAGCGGATCTAAAGCCTATGCTAATCCATACACTAACATGTATTCTTCTAAAAATTGGTACAATAAAACATAAACCCTAAATTCCTAACCACATATCATGAAAATCAAAAACCATCCCAGTTTTAACGTCATCTAAAATGACAATAAACATGGGTGACATACCTTTCACTAGTTCTGAAAACAGCACCTGCATTCTCCAACAAGATCTTTAGCAACTCCAAGGCAACAATCTTCCCTCGCATCAACTGTGGGTCTGCTAAAGCCTCTTTTGGAGGCGTCTTCATAGATAGCTTACAAAGAGCTCTAAAGACCAAAAAAGCATCCCTTCTCAGTTTATTCCCAATTTGAACCTCTATGTCATCATCTCTGTCTCCTTCCACCTCTACTAATTCTCCTTTCCTTCCCTCCAATGCTGACTTATACATGCTAATCTCCCAATACTTCGCATCCAACATATCTTTATCTGTAGAATCCAACATATCAGCTGGATTTGTTGACTCCATTGTTGATGTCTTTGTTTCAAACGCCCCATCATGCACTACAGTTACATTCGTGTTTGATGTTACAGGAGACCCGGGATTTATAACCCCATCCACTCCCTGCATAACCTTACTGATAAACCCTTGAACAACCATTGTCATTGTTCCATCACTATCTTCTGTCTTCTCTACTGGCTCCATGAGCTCCGCCACTACAATCGGCTGAACAAGCTCCGTTGAAGAATCTGCCTCCATTCTCCTAAACACAATCACAAGCATCTGAATCAAGGATGCCTTAGCCGTAGTCTGATTAACAACATTCTTACTTTGTAAATAGATATCATAACTCGTCCTCACGATCTGTAACAAACTATCACCGTGTATCCTCAGCGACACTGATGTCACTGCAGATAAAATTGTCTTCAAAACCAACAACTCTACACCTTCGTCGCCTAATTCATGACACTTGCAAACGGAATTGATCAGTTTTGCTAAAAGCTTCGCATCCGGTCCACCGGTGGTATCCGATTCGCCGCGTAAACAACCATGCGCGATTAATTTCTGTATACAATCCAACGCTGGCTCTACGATCTTGAGAGTTTCCGAAGAACAGGCATTAATGATCGGGGACAATATGAATTCCGATTCAGGTAGGGTTAATTCATTCGTTCCGGAATCATGTAGAACGCCTGGAGACGATAATTGTAACGACAAGTCGACGCCTGATTGAGGCTCATCCGGGGTGAGAGGGGTGGAAGGGGAGATAGGGGAAGGAGGAGGAGGGTTATCCGGAGAGGTAATGCGTCCGAGAACGGATTTACACCGACGAACAAGCTTGGAGTGTTTGCGCCATGAACCGTTCTTGATGATTTTTTCTAGCGCAGGGACTAAAATGTTGTTGATGAGACGGGAATCGGCTTCCGAAGAAGCCATCCCCCCGGGTTTCTCCTGTTAGATCTGGCGGTGATATGGTTGATAATGGTGGTTCAGTTGAAGTGGATCGATGGTGGATTATGGTGGTTCCGGTAGGAGCGTGGCGGTGTCAGGTGGAGAGGAGGTGAGTTTATCGCGTACGGGCACTTGTACTTTTGTGATTTTGTTAAGGTGATGTCCGGAAAATATTGTTTGAATTGTGTGAAAAGACGAATGTAACCTTACATCTTGTTTCGGGCGCGTTTTGAGTCTATTCCCAGATCGCCGGCGGGTTTGGGCCGGTGCCGTGGTTCGCTCAAGATTGGGTTCATCTAAAATAGGGTTACCCTCATCCCGTTCATATCTTTCTCACTCAATTTGTACTCTATGTTGCCCAATTTATATCAAAGTGTTTTGTTCGTAGGGTTGAAAGAGATAATTTTCATATGTTTTGAGTTCGAATGAATGAAAATGAAAGAAAAGAAAGAAAAAATTGTGATGCCCTATATGACAAGTAGTGGGAGGTTCCCCCAAACATTCGTTGAAAATTATGGACATTCATTAAAATATTTTTAATCTTTTCCATTTGTATAAAGCATTCTAGTAATGTTTTTCGTATAGAGAATGTCATCAAAAAAGATATTAGGATATGTTTGGTGTGAATAAACTAATTTTTTTAGCTTATTTTAGCTTAGTGTTTGGTAAGACTACAAAATAGTTTATCCTAACTTACAATTTACTTTTTTGATAAACTACTTGAAATAACTTATTGATAAACTAACGTATAAATTAAAATTTAGTAATTCGATTAGCCCACCAAACATAATCTTACTTTTCTAAAGTGAGTATATTGTTCTTAATTTGTAATGTCGTATGAATTTGTTATCATTGTTGTTGTTAAGATTAGTCTTCATTCACACTTCATTTAATCTTTTCCTTATGATGCTCTCCCTTTTGGTTGTGGACTTGTGGTCTTTGATGATAACAAATATTTTACTTGATTCCTTATTTCTTATTATACAACATCATATAGGAAACTCACAATAAGGATTGTAGGTTGATAACATGGTTGCATACCAAGCCTAAAACAAAAGGAAATAAAATCATAAATATGTATATTGACATCCCCCTTCCCTTACAGTTTAAACATGATGATAGGTTTGAACATTCAAACAAGACCAGAAACCAAAAAATAATGTAGATTTATGGCATATGTCTTATGGTTTATAGCTTAGGGCTTATGGCTTAGGGCTTGTGATATATGTCATATGGCTTATGGTGCATGGCTTAGGGCTTGTGATATATGTCATATGGCTTATGGTGCATGGCTTAGGGATTAAAGTGTAACGTCCTAATTTTCAAACCAAATTTTTCATTTTTAATTTAGAATTAATTATTCCAATTTCATTCTTAAAGATAGATAAATAACCATTTGTTAGTTTGGCAATCATAAGCAAAATCAGAGTCATAAAGATAGTAAAATCAAATGTACAAACTCTCTATAATATATCAGCAGATACAATGCAATCAAGTCGCGCCTTTCTCCTTGCTGCGAGAACAACCTGAAACATTTTAAACTAGTAAGCACAAATATTAGTAAGTTCCCCAAAATAGCACATACATATGTGAATGTTATGATCCCACCATAACCTTATAATCACTTCCATTGCTACAGTCCCACTATGGTCTTTACTGCTATGATCGTATCATAGTCTTTCATGCAAATGGCTCATATAGTCTTACATATAAATGTGATGGCCCCTAATAGTCTTTCATGCAATTGTCATGGCCCCCATAATCTTTTATACAACTATTATGGCCCCCCACAGTCTTTAATATAGATGGTTACAAATACAATCTAGCATATATGACACTAATGTCCTATAATCTCATAATTTCCAAGGAATAACAAGTAACACGAACCACCTACAATCCAAAAGAGGTCTACCCTCAGACTATAGCTCATACGAAACAACTTTGACCCAAAAGTCAACTGCCAACGGTCAATGGTCAAAGACAATGCGTCGTGACCTTTTCCATGGTCGTGTCATGAACACTAACAGATAAGATAGTCACGGTCATTATGAATCGCGTCGCAACACCCATAATGATCGTGTTGCGATTCCTAGCCATTCAACCAACTTTTAAAAAACTCTTCATCCTTTAATTCTAGAATCCAAATTATTATATCCGGTCATACTTAAGGACTTAATGGGTAAAGTTTCCAACTTTATCTATTTCTTTAACTCATACAAACCCAAACTCAAACCATAACTCTAAAATGTTACCAAAAATGTTATGTTCCAAAAATTCTAATAAAACTTTTCATTTTCAAACCATCAAAACCATACAAACATTTGTTGTAAACCAATCATAGTAAAAAGGTATCTCTCAAAGATCAGAGTAAAATAATAATCGACGCAGAAAAATCCATCATGGGTGTTATGCAATCAAGTCGGACCCTTCCCTTTGGAAATGGAACTACCTGAAAATATTTAAACCACAAAACCGTAAGCACAAAACCGTAAGCACAAAACTTAGTCAGTTCCCCAAAATACCACATACCATACACAACATCGGGCCTCACCTACATAATGGGTCCCTCGCATCATACAAACGAGAACTCCCGCCCCCCTCCCAACATACAAACAGTCCCCGCCCAACATACAAATGGGCCTAACCCAGCATACAAACGTGCCTTGTCCAGCACACAATGTAAGAGTCACAAAGACAACTAGGATCATACACAGTATAATTAGAAGACTTACCTTTCTCACGAAGTTAGACAAACCATAGCTTAGTGTCACAAATCAGGTGCTACAACTTACCTATATATCGAATCAAACAAGTTCCTACCTAAGTCATATTCTAGAATAAACAATTTGACAAAAAAATCAACACATGTCAATAAGTCAACAGTCAGGATCAAAGTCAATAGTCAGCATCACCATTAGTTCACCCTCACTTCGTGACTAACCGATGCTCACGTCATGGGAAAACAAACTCAACTTGATAACAAACTCGATCATGATCCAACTCAATCTCGTTCAAATTTATTTTCATGTCACGATAGCCTTGCCACCACATTGGGACAGTTTCTGTAACACCCTTTTCGGACCCTTTTGAAATTTAGGGCCTTAAATGGAAGTTCGATCATGAAAAGGGTTTTGGGCTTTGAGGACAGGAAGTTTGGGCCTTATTGAAGGATAATAATGTTGGTTGTGATGCCCAAACCCTTTAATTTGAGTGTTGGACCGGAGGGTGGAAAGGGAAAAGTTATATATTGGGCTTCTTGCAAGGGTTAAGGTGTTATATCAATGTGTGGTAAGTAAAAATCAACTAGATAGAATTGTGGGGATTTTCAATGCCTTTTTGTGCATATAAATAATGCCAAAAATGGAATTTAGATGAAGAAATTATGTTCATTGGAATTTAAAATGGAAATGAGATTTGATTTCTACGTTGGGTGTAAATGGCATGTATGTTGGGTGTACATCATTAATGTAACACCCTGTTTCAAATAATTTCCCATTGCGGTGTGGTCATCAAGGAGTGGGTATTAGCATACTTCGAACCCTTGATGTCACACCCCCGAACCAGACGGCGGAAACGTCCGGGGGCTGTCGTGACTCAATTGAATACCATCACAATGAATATACATGAAACATAACATCATACATCACCAAGCATTGGAATAATACAACTGGTAGCGTTTACATTTAGTACATTGTTCCCTAACATTACAAGCCCAAAAAGTAGATTTTTCGGTGCTAATTAAACAAGCAGCAAAACGTCACTGAGTACACTTATCCCTTCGTTTTATCTGTTACCTGAGAATACAAGTATTTTGAAAAACGTCAACATATGAAATGTTGGTGAGTTCATAAGTAATGTTTGAAATCCAATGTTTGTATTGTTTCGAAAACCACCAGAAAATCCGATATTTTCTGAAAATAGTATAGCGTAAAAAAAAAGTGTGAAGATCCGTGAGTATGCTTGTTTGTTTTCTATAGATGTAAGCGTACGAGTTGTAAAATTCGTCATGTAATTCGTAAGTGTAATAGTTGAAAACCCTAGGAAAACCCGACGTTTTCCTATCACTTTGCTTTAATTAGTTTATGTGTTGTTGTTTCGTTACATTAGAGGTATTCGTTGAGCTCCGGAGGCATTGAGTATACAGTGGGTTGTGAATTGTTGTAACGTACATTAATGAAAACGTCCAGTTGACAACCGTACTAGCGATCCCTTAGGCGTCGCTCGCACTTATTCACATAACTCAACCCTCCCGGACTTGTGTAGTCCCACGACCGAAGAGAAAAAGAGAAGGTGCGAAACCCTCGGTATTTCCCTGCGTCGTTCAAGACCATTGCAATTGCGAAGGGCCCGAAGCCCAACCCGCAATCGTGAGTTCCCGACTTTACTAGCAGCACTGAAGGACCCTTGGGGACCAGCAGCATGTTTGCCATTGAAAGTCCTTTTACACGCGGTCGAGTCGTATTAGACCCAACTACATGTAAGCAAGTGTCCTTTGGGCCTAAAGATCATGTCATCGGGCTAGCTAGGCTCGACAAGCATGATTTGCAACTTTTGGGCCTAAGGAGTGTACGTCGACGTATTGAGTAAGTTCCACGAGAGTAAAGAGTTCCGAGAGTTCCATATGTGTATTGAGCGTTGTAGTGTTAGTAGTTTTGGATTTGTTATTGATTCGAGACCGAATCAATTCGTTTGGTAACGATTGTTGGTGATATTGTGTATTGTAATTCATCGAGAGTCGTAGTGTCAATCTTTGTTCACAACGAGTGTATTGAATTATCATTGAAAATTTTCTGTTTACAACCCCTCTTTATTTTGTAAATTTACTTTTTCACCCCTTTAGGTAAATAATTTCCGGTTTAGTCCTTAAACCATTTTTCTTGACATTTTAACACCAAAAATTATTGAAATTAATATTTTTCAGCATATTTTTCATTGAAAACAGTTTAAGTCCCTGAAATTGCAGTTTTCTCGGTTGTAACCCCTCTTTTTCGCAATTTTTACATTTTTGGCCCAAATTGGAAAATTTTTGCAACTTTGGTCCTTTTAAATTTGAAAAGCATTTAAACCTTTGAAAAGTACTTGTGACACTAGTGGTCCATTGTTTTACAGAAAAACACAGTTTTGGCCCTCCAA